AACTGAGTGCTAGCCTGTTATTAACCTGAATTGTTCTCTTCTTCTATGGTGGTTGAGCTCTAATTGCCATTTTAACTGTGCTTGTTAATGTGGAGATCATGAAAAAAGCATAAATAACCTCAAAGATGGCACTTTCTGAATGTTGAGGCCTTTGGATTCGTAGGGGTCACACAGCCTCACCAGGCCTGGCCCTCAGATGCGGTCACATAGCCCTTGTCTGTCTTCCCACACTTCAGAAATCAGATGAACTGTCTCTTTCCTGCGGAAGTCAGTAAAATTCCTGCTCTTAGTGACTAATTTTAGCAAGATATTAAGAAGAAGGCAATAGACAAAGTGACATAGAGCAAGTTATGAATGTTTGAGTTACAATTATGATGATTTTATTTATAGTGTTAACTGGAATTAATCCAAAAATGTTGGAATACATAAAGCTGAGGCTTCAGTATTCTGATTCCTGGCCCATTTTACGCATTTGTCCATTCTTTTTTCCCTTCAGTCCCATCAAAATGATCAAACAAACCTTTCTAAAAGTAAATTCTTTAAAAGCATTTTTAATTCAAGAAAACATTGAAATTAATAATGCATAATAATTAAAGCATATTTATTATTTAGAGTTAGTTTCTGTGACAGTCTGTTGTTTGGGCCATGGATAAGTGGCATTTACTTATTATGGTTCCTATATTAGTGAATTTTCCGCCTTTTATTAACTGTGGGTATTTACCTTTGAGTATATGCTCATTGACCTGTTTTAGAGTTATTTCTCCTGGAGAATCTACCTTATTAATTACAGATTAAAATACCAATATAATCATCTTTATATTGGTTCTAAGGAGCTCATAATTACATGGCCCGTAGCTGAGGAATGATGGCTTTGAAGGCTGTCTCTTAGTTTAATTGTGTTGCTGCATTTTAAAGTATAAATAATAGAATAAAAACATTTTCAGTAAAATTTCTGATATCTAATTAATGCCTTCCAGAGTAGCTGTGGTATCAAACATTTCCTCTAATTATATTCATTAGTGGCTTCTCCTGGACAAGTTTTAATTAAGTTGTACAATGAAGATCAATAGTCATTGTGTATTCATTGCAATCTACAACAAGCATATATACTGCTCAGAACAGCTTAATTATTGTAATCATAGCACAAAAGACACTTGGTGATTGTACTGTATTACCACCATGCCCTCTTTTAATAAATTCAGCAGTACCATTGGGAAATAAACTTCTGAAAATTCACATTTATATATGCCCTGCCTATATTGCTGTGTTTTACCTACTGTTTTTTATCTTTTAATGTTTCTTCTTTTTATATTGCTAGTAAAAAAAGAGAGATATTAAAAACATTAGTGACAGTATTTTTCACGTATATTATAATGAATGTAGAGAAATTACTAAAGAAGTAATATATACACCTGTAATAATTACAGGCATTCTGTGAAAAATAATTTAGGGGACTTGTGTTATTAAAATACATTAATTTTATTTTTCCACATAAGAATAAGATTATTTTGTTTTTTAAAATAAGAGTATAATTTTGGTTCATAAAGAATGCCTCTAAAATATGCTAACTTCTATTAATGAAGATCATGCTAACAATATAACAAAGAAATGTGAAGGCAGGTATTTTAGTGGCATCAGTGGGAGAAGAACAGGGCTTCCTGTCTTTGACACTATTGAAACTGGCTCTAGTTAGCTCCTGGGGACTTGGAAATTGGCTCCTGGGGACCTTTGTCACGCAGTGTGGGTTGTTTAGCCTCATGCCTGACTTCTTCCCATTCAAGGCCAGCAGCAAGCACTTTCCTACCTGCACACACGAAGTCTTCCTAATCACACATGTCTCCAGACCGTATCAGCTATCCGTGTTGAGAAGCCCTGGTGCGTATCAATTCATTGGCCCCCTTGGGTTTGCCCACTCACCAGGCAGACTATTAGCTAGCTCTTCAGCTGCCTCAGCTGGGGCTAGGAGTGTGAGCCAAACACGATGTTCTTTTAAGGAAATGACACACTTGAGTTTTCTGGAAATAACAATTGGGTGCTCACAGAACAGTCAATGGAAATGCCCAACTTGAATTTAGGAAAAGGAGGATTGGCCATAGTTTCATGAAAAACAAACAAAGAAGGATGGAATGGGTACATTTGAAAGCAGGGCAAGAGTTTGGAGTATTTTGAATATGTTGAGGGAAATTGATGTCAATGTGTCTTTATAATATATTTTATTTAAAAATATGTAATAAAACCAGCTATTTTCTCTGGAGTGTCTGAGAAACTAATCCAGATCTAAAGCGTCTATTTTGTATCACATGAGTAAATCAGGTAACTGCCTAAAACACCTAATTTTACTCTCTTTTCTCAATTTGTAATTCAATAATGACATATGTGAACATCTTTGCACTGTGAGTTTTATGAAGTCATTTGTTTCCTGGAGGAAAGCCAGATTATAACAGTAGTGTACAAAAAATGATATGCACGTATTTCCTATAAATCTCTATCTGAACAAATCGTTTTTGACAAAATGCAATAAGTACTGTTATATAGTTTCTTATTGTTGTTATTTTCATGTATTTTACAGTACATTCCCATATTAAAAACTTCCAATAAATTCTATGAATATTCAGGGCAGTGTTTTGAGGTCCTTCATTTATTCCTACATGTTTACAACAACAACAACAAAAAAGTAATAATGCATATTAAAGCTAATCTAAGTGAGAGCAACTAGATTTTGAAACACTTAAAATTCCGTTGGTGAAGTGAATACTTCAAATCCACGAGGAATGCTGTTTCTCCAGGCAGGCTGGTGAGGCATTCCTAGAATTCCTGTGCACATCATTTGCCACCACATGATGAAATTCCCGTGGCTGTGGCAGTCACGCTCTCAGTTTCCAATTTGCTCTACTTTATCTGATACATACAGATACACTGTTAATCACTATCAACGGTGAGCGGAATGAATCATTAAAATGAATAAACACAACAATTTAGGTTGTGCCCTCCCTTGGTATTTCATCATGTCTAGACATAACCTCGTGTCCTAGAAAAACTAAAATGAGGACAAGGACATTTGTGTTTAATGTAGCCTTATTCCCAGGGAAACCTGGAAATTGCACAGAAAAGAGGGTACTTACAGCTGCAAAATCAGAGGTAATAATGTGTCTTCCAGGACATACGGGATCAGTTGGTAACAGAACAGTTTGGGTTTCTTTTTGTTGTTTTAAAACAGCCATCTTTCAGTTAATGCTTCATTCTGTTACAAATAACAGTTATGCAGATTTATTTTTCCATGAAGCCAGTAAGATGAGAGTAGGCTAAAGGTAATACAAATATTATACAGGAAGGATTTTTATAGTTAAGGGACACAGAAGTTCGTGAGGGAAATAAACAAGTATGTTTTGCAATAACAACACATCTGTGATAACTGGCATATTTCTGTGTTTTCTATAATTTTAAGTTGTTGATTTATTTTGCTTGTAATAATATATTGTAGACTTAGAAATGTTCTACATGTACTTCTATCTCAATAATTTGTGTTACTGTGAAACAAAATAATGAATAATGGAGGTTAAGTGTGTGCAATTTTTATAATGTACAAAATTTTAATTTCAATTGTGGTCTTGATTTTCTCAGTCATAGCTTTTTTATATCCTATGTTCTACTATATGAAGGTACGTTTACTAGTCTATGAATTGCTGTTCTTTTGTACTGTAGGCTTACTTAATAGTTCCAGACAGAATCATCCTTTTAGAATTTTTTGCATTTTAAGATATGGGTACTTGAATATAGTATAAAATGTTTCATCAGTACTTCTTCCTAGTAATGACCCAAGGTTCTCCCTTGGGTCTGTATGCCACCTTCAGAGTGGTTCAGTTTACAGTGGGTCAGTTAGGTACACACAGAATGCGAGTAATAGTTAAGACAGATAATAATCTGTGATCCAGGTCTAAAGCATGTGATTAGACAGTATCCTTTATACCAGTTTAATTTCTTGGGGAAGGCATGACATTCAATACTCTGTGTGTGTGTGTGTGTGTGTGTGTGTGTGTGTGTGTGCATGTAGGTGTATCTACTCATCAATTACTTCTTTTGTAACAATGTGTTCAGATTTCCAACCATGTTAGACTTTCCAGATAATGTAGTCAATAGCTTTATGTGAAGCACATTTTTTATTCTGCTCATATCTAAGTGGATGCTATCCTTGGAAATACACTGGACTGTTAGCTTCTGGTAGTGGCAACAACCAGAAGAACTGGGACAGTTTTCTTTCCTTGGTTAAGGATATATAGATTTATTTTTTAATTAAACTTGCAATTTGGATAACAAATTTTGGCTAATATCACAAAAAATGTTACAAGTTTGGGAATAGTTTATTGCTATTTAATATAAATAGCATTAAATAGCATTATGACTGTTTAATGCTTCATAACAGCTTTCTAGAAGAAAATAAAATGTTACCTACAATTTTATGCCTGCAGCCTAATCTTAAAACTTAATGCTTTTTTATTTTAATGTGTTTGGTATATGATCTCTATGCAGCTTGGATTCATATTGATCCTCCTGTTTTCAGCCTCCCCAGCGCTGTGACCACAGGCATGCACCACCACTTGGGGTCTCAGGGGCCGGCTCAGCATGCTGAGGGGTGGGGGGCCAGCGTGGCAAGCTTTGAACCACGGTGCCTGCACTTGCCTAAGCAGGTGCTTAGCATGCTGGGCTCTCTCGCTTGCTCTAATGCCTTCTTAGGAAAGCTGCGTAAAGCTCTTTTTCGTGAGCCTTTTTTTCATTTCTCCTCTTATTGTTTGTTTCTTTCCTGTCCTCTAAATTGGAAGGAAATTATTTAGGATATTTATGTGCTTTTGTTGGTTTTTCTATAACTGCTTTTTAACATCGCTTATTTGCTTTTATCCTAATACTGTTTTCTAAATATTTTGCGTCTTATAATCATTATAGTGCACTATCAAAATGGAGTATCTTCTATATTTCACTCAGTTCTATATTATCTTGTCTTTCAGTGAATTTGTTGGATTCACGCACTGTCATGGGGGACCTGGGATGGATTGCTTTTCCAAAAAATGGGGTAAGTCCTTATGACATTTTCCTGAAGCTTAAACTTCTTACATAGGCATTTTGCTACAAGGTACATGAGATTGAGAACTCTCTGGATATATTTAAAAGAAGAAGGGGCGTATGTCATGTGAGGTGAAGGGACCTCACATTAGCTGCCCTGGGGAAAAGGTAAGGAATAGGGAAAGGGTGTCAAATACTGATTAACAGATATGTCCTTCTGTCAGTGTTTTCCTTAAAATGATGTAATATGTCCTTCAACATTCAGAAAGTTTTCAGATGAAAGCAGCCAGCAAACATTTGGAGTTTATGTACACCAAGGAATATTTGGTTTACAGTTGCTTTGCCTTTATGACAATTTTAGATTGTATGGAAATGGAATTTTGCTGTGGCCGGTTCATTCCTTGCTTTCAATTACAGAGTTAGGGCGTAGAGGTATTATGAGAAATTCATTTACATCCACCGAGATTAAAAATTTCTCAAAATACCAATGTCATCCCCATTTAGATGACTTCCAGTCCTGTTTCTCAGTCTGCGTCAGATGCATGATCCCGCGCCCACTGGGGCTCCGGAGTGGACGCTCACAGCCTCTTCCTCGTCTTCCCTTCCTTCCTCCCCACAGCACCACGGCTCTGCCCACCCTAGACAATTATTCTTGAATTTTTCTTCACTGTAAACTTTTCAAAGAAGATGGCTACATTGAGAGAGTTTTCTAATATTGCTTTTAGCAAATTATTTTATTGGTGTACATTAAAACTAAATCCTTTTCAGGGAAATTAGAGGTTAATTTTGAGCTGCATATCTGAAAGCATTTATAATCCTAGCAGTTTTATTGTGTAGATTATATAGAAATATACTGTATTATCTGTTCCTCACTTCAGTACAGAACCAGAGTGTCAGATCAAAACATGAGAAGATAAGTAAAATATAACATAGGATATTATATGAAAACATTAAATCAGTTCTGTAACTATATTAAATCCTTTACTTTGAGAAGCTATTAACCAATAATTTTATTATTTTCTAATTTTTGATCTAAAAGTACACTCAGGGAGCCACTTTGTCACAATTTTTTTTTTCTTCAGTACAAGGGATTGAACTCAGGCAGGACCTAGTGCTTGCCAGGCAAGCACTTATTCTACTAGCTATCTCCCCATCCTTTTGGCACAAATATTGTTGAGCCTTCATTTAAATAAATACTTAAATACTTAAACTTATTTTAAGTACTGGCATATATGTGGAGTTAAGTTGGGCAGTAATTCATGGCAAAGTATTTTTATCATGCATATTTTACCATGGAAAAAAATTTAAGCTTAAGTAATAAACTTATAACAAAACTAGTTATAACAGATGTTTGTTTTTTGCGGTACCAGGGGTTGAACTCAGGACCTTGTGATTGGTAGGCAAGAGCTTATTCTACTGAGCTGTCTCCCCAGCCCTCCCAAACTAGTTGTAACAATCTAGGCACAATATTTTAATTTTTTTTCAAATCAATGAAAAAAAAAACCAGTATATTAATCAATCTTTATTAATAAAATTATTATGAAAGTAAAATAAGCAGTTTTAATATTCTAATGTGCAATTACATATGAATACTCTAATCAGTGTGCTTTCTTCTATTTCACTAATTTGGAATTTATCATTTTTAAAATTATAGTTCTGTCCTAGTGGTGCAGCTCAGGTGTAGAGTAATTGTTGAGCGTGTGCAGAGTCTTGGGCTTGATCCCAGCATACAAACATGAAAAACGGTGATTGCATTTAGAATTACAATAAAAATTTATTATTCACACAGCGGTAAGAGATTGGAACCTTAAGAGTACAACAAATGAAAAGCCTCACGTGATGCACACAGAGTGAGGCTCAATTTTATGCTGAGTATTCTTGGTCTAGTCTCCTTTACTAGGATCTTCCTGCTTCCCTCACTTCTCCCTCCCTGTTCTTTTATCATTTTTTCCTCAACCACCACACATGTAGAGCTAGATCACTGGCTAATACTGACCGAGGAGTATCCAGGTATGAAATCTGTGCTCTGTACTTCTCATAAACCAAAATTATTTTATTGAATTAAGAAATTAAAATTCTCTTTCTTGGATGATATCAGACATGGTATTGAAGTTAATTTTCTACAGTTCTGAGAATATGTATGATTTTGTCTTTGAACTTCTATGTTCCTTCTGTTTCCAGTAGGAAATAATCCCAAAGGTTGTTGTGACAAACTGCCCTTAAGAGTGTGTGAAGCATTGTAGTTGTACTTGCAACTGGAAATTTTGGGGAATTTGCTCAATTTTAAAGACCATTTCACCATAAAAACAAATCCCCTATGTATAAAAGTTGAGATCTTCTCAAATATTTGAACAGTTCCATACATTTTTTTCTTACTATTGTTGATATATTATTTTTGTCATTTTTTAATCAATGTGTATCTTTTAAAAGACTTGCTATTTTAATGCATTATGATTCCTTTGACATAGCCATATATGATATTAATACTGAAGAAGCAGAAATAAATTTAGAGTTAAGTAAATGTCCATGTGTCCAAAATGGAAAGAATGTATGGAATTTGAGCATTGTTCTTTTGAAAATGATATTTAAATAAAAGGTGAAGAAATACATTTCCCTATTCCATAGGAAAAGTGAGTATTCAAGTATGTACACTCATAATGGGCATAAATTTTTAACGTGTTTAGGTTAGGTCTTGATATTTATGATTAGAAACAGCACAATCCTAGGTTAAAAGTAGATCTTTAGAATGATGTCAACAAGAACTATGGAGTAAGAGCTTTCAAGAGTTTTCTCCTCAAGAAAAGTCCTAATAAAATTGGTGGTGGGGGAATTGTCAGGCTCAATTTTTTCTTGACTTTGGAAGTGAATCAAAGTCTGGAGATTATCAGGAATGCATTTATTCAAGAACTGTGTCTGAAATTTGAGAGAATAGTTAGATTTGTGGCCTTCTAATTAGTCTTTACTTTCTGCCTTTCTAATTTTGAGGTAATCATGAGAAGTTGAAAATTTGTCACTTCAGGAAAAGCCATCAGCCCATTAGGCATGAAAAAACAGACTAGGAAAGGAGATTCCTCATAATCTTAATCTCAGAGAGTTGGAATTACATTAAAATTTCTCTACTATTCATCTGTCGATAGACATATAGGTTGGTTTTAAGATTTAACTGTTATGGATTTTGTAGTGCTATAAACTTGAGTACGAATGTGTCCATATAATATGACGTCTTTAACCCTGATTTGACATATTTGATAGTTCCCTGAAAGGCTAAGTGGGAACACCATCTTCATTTGAACTGATTTAGAGCTGTCAGTCGAATAGCCTTTCTGAGATTGACACTTGTGAAAAAAAGAGAATTTCCTAGGTTTTCCAATGTCTGAGGTGGTACATAAAATTTAGGACAAACAATAGACTAGCATACATACACCTCAGAAGGCAAATCTCAAAGTGAAGTATCCGTGGGCTTTGCAGTGCTCCGCTGGGTTACTGGTCATCTAAGAGGCTGTGCACACACCTAATGTATGTAAGATCTGAAAGACCTGAAAAATTAGATTTTCACCTGTGACATGCCTGGTGTTTTTGCACAAGCAGAATGTTGTGGTTAAAGCAGTCTGTAATTACTTGCTGAACATTAAAGGAACACCCCAGCTTACATACACAAACTCTTTTTTTTTTTTTTTTTGTCTGTTGTGGTCAGCAGTTGTAGCTCAGTGGTAGAGAGCTTGCCTCGCATGTTCAAGACCCTGATTTCAGGCCCCAGTAAGTGCACACACACCTGACCATATATAACCTGCTAATAAGCTCACGAAACAATAACTTTGGTGGCTGCAGATGGCATAGAATAGCTTATGGCATTAGTTTAGAAACCATTAAAAATAATAAACTCTAGAGTATGAGGAGGATCTTAGTTATAGAATTGCCATATTTGTATTTTGCTTGCAACAAAAATCTATGAGCTATACAAAGAAACAAATTATTACCACTGCACAGGAAAAACATCAATCAATAGAAATTGTATTAAGGATTCTCACATATTTGACTTACTAGATAAAGCCTTGAGTTAGAAATTTAAAGTATGTTAGTAGAACAGAAAGAAAATTTGTCTAAAAGAACTACAAAAAGTGTAAAAAGAATGTCTCATGTAATTCAAAAAGTCAATAAAGAAATAAAAATTATTTATAAAAGGAAATAAAATTTCTAGAGTTGAAAAGAATAGAAGTTGAAATTAAAAAATTCACTACATGGACACCAGACTTGAACAAGCAGAAGAAATAGCAAATTTTAATAGAAAAAAAATGGAGATCATCCCGTTAGATAAACCAAAATGAAAATAGTGGAGAGAAATAAAAAGAAATGGAAAAACTTAGGAAAACAATACAGACACAACCAGAGAAGAGAGGGCAAAAGGTTCTGAGCAGCTATTTTAAGAATTAATGGGCACATAATTCCCAAATTTGATCAAAAATGTTAATAATTGTATTCAGAAAACTCAACAAAGTCCTGGCCAAGTAGCTTAGCGGATTAAAGCACCCAGAAGCAGGTGCAGGGGCTGGGGGTGTCATCCCCGTGGCCCCGCCCCCAGGGCACACTGGCAGGGAGATTAAGGCTGGGCGAGGTGGTGCGCGCCCATAATCTCAGCTCTCTGGAGGCTGTAAACAGGCAGATCAGTGTGAGTCGGATCTAGTAGTGACACCCTGTAGGCCTTCCCTGAAATGCAAAAATAAATAAATAAATAAATAAAATAAAATAAAATAGAAACAGAAGTCAGCAAATGTAAATAACGAACTCAAAGAGATGCATAATGAGATAAATGAGGGTTGTGTTGTCAAGCACCATAGAGAGAATGTTGAAAAAAGGAAAACATTGTCACAGTTGATTTCTCGTGAGAAGCAATGGGAACATGGAGGTGGTGTGCTGTGTTTTGTGTCTCGTTGTCCCCCCAAAGCCTCATAAGTCGTGGGGGAGATGCTGCTAGAGGAGCAGCAAGTGGCTTGAGGGGGGGACCAGAGCACC